ATTTTGCAAGGGTACCATCGTACACCGAAGCAATGCCGTGAAAAACTAAAAAAAATGAAAAGCGACTACCGCATGGTAAAAGACCATAATGGCAGGAGCGGTTCCAACCGACGAAGTTGGAAGTGGTTTGATGTAATGGATGCCATCTACGGTAATCGCCCTGCCAGCAATGGGAGAGTGAGTAGCCTGGACACAGCCACGGCTCGGCTGGAATCCATGATGGAAGACGGTGAGTTTATTCTAAATTTAAGCATATTTTAAGTTATTAATGCCATCAGTTTTGAGCATATTTTGAACAAATAAAAGAGGCTGATGCTATTGGCCATGAAGTGCGCCTTTGGTTAGCATCGATGCTACTTTGCTCAATGCTAACGCTGCTTCTGTTTATCGCTTTATTTTGATCCAGAATATGTTCCGCCCTGTGAAGATTCGGCAGAAAATGCCGTTTCTGACCCGCCAAGCGTCCCGTCTTCTTCTGCCCCTGCGCCATCCCCCTCACCGAGCAGCTCACAACAGCCTGCTAATCTTGGTGAGAAACAACACGATTCACATCACCGCACTTTATTCGTGCGTGTAGGAAAAGACTTGCTGTATTCATTTATTTATAGCAGAAAAAAATCGCAGTATAAAAGTATTTAATCATTGTTTTTTTTTTTATTTTAGTCTTTTTTTATTCTTCTTTTTTTTCACTTCTTATTGTAATTATATAGGTATTTATTCATGTCATTATTCTAACATTCTATTATATTCATTTTATCTTGTTATTATCGTTATTATTATGTAATTGCACAACTACATGTAGATGAGTACATATAACCTTTCTACTAACCTGTTAATCATATTTTCTCCAAGTACTCTGGTTTCCTCCCACAGACCAAAAACATGCATGTTATCGACTGATTGTGTCCCAAGTTAACATTTGGGTTTTGGCAGGTTGAACATGTTTGGTTTAAGCAGCTCATGTACTTTTATTGTAAAGATTTCCAGTCAAAAACACTGCTGCTCTTGAAATAGTTCATTGAGGATTTTGAGCAAGCTAGAATAAAAAGAGCAATCACCATCTTTAGCCGTAAGATGGGGAACTCATAAATAAATTCAACAAATAATTAAGTACTTCTCTGAAAGAAGTCGTCAAGCAGCATATCTGTTCAACATTGTAAAAAGTGGAGATGAAACAAAGCATATAAACAAAAAGTTTAAATGTGTCAGGCTTCATCTGTAAATGTGGAGAGACAGATTGTTGTTGTTTTTTTTTTTTTGGGGGGGGGGGGCTGCACAATGCAAAATCTTTCACTTCTTGAAATTTTATAAGGTCTTAACCTAATTATGACTGTTGCTTGCAGGCTTCTTTTGAATAAAAACACATACATGTCTCTCATTCAGAGTTAGAATGAAGTATGATTAATTTTAATATTTTTATCAATCTGTAACATTACCAGAGACAAATTTTGTCCAAAAAAAAAACAAAGATTCCTCAAACAATAATCCTTTCCAAGTCGATTCATTTGTCTCTTCTACATCATAGTGTATATTCTTGTGAGCTTCTCCTACAGTTCTTGGATTATTTTTCACCACAACTCCTGTTTCGCTGAACATCAGCACAAGTAGAACGACCGCTCTGTCCTTAGCAAATGAGATGAGACACAATGAGACCACTGAAAAAGCTGCAGCCTTCTGAAACGTTCGTAATAAATAGAAAAATGGCCTAATTAACAATACAGACACAGTGCAAGTGTTTATATTCATTCATTTTTAATTATATTCATCGTTTCTCCTGGCTCTTATTTTAATCGTGTGCACATGCTTTTGTGCTCATTGCATCGTGGCTGAAAACGTTCATCGCACTCGCTAAGCTGCTTGTGTCTTCTCTTTTTTTGTTGTTTTTGTTTTCCTCCTGTAGCGCACTTAAATGTCCTTTTTAGGTTCAAAGCTGGGCCTGAGCGACGTCCAGGCAGAGCTGGACCGCATATCCAGCCGGGAAACAGCTCATGTACTTTTACTGTAAAGATTTCCAGTCAAAAACACCAAATCATTGAGTTTGTTGTAGTGTTTTTTTTTTTTGTTTGTTTGTTTTCAAGCTGACTTCAAAAAAAACATGAAGTGCTTATTTTAATCTGTATTTTATGTCTTGAACAAGCACTTTATGTTATTTGGAAGTGAGTTTGAAGTGAAAACAAACAGAAGAAGCTGTAAAGAGAATGGATGGATGTTGTAATGTGATTTTACATTAAAGGTCCAGTAGATGGCGGCACATCTTCATTGCATAAATATAATGTAGTAGTATATTCATTAATAAATATTAATTTTACTGTGTACACACACGTATATATATATGTATGTATGTATGTATATATACACACATGTGTGTGTGTGTATATATATGTATATATATATATATATATACACATAACGGTACACATACATATATATATATACACATACATAAATATATATAGATATATACATATATATATATATGTACATATATTACTTTTCAAATTCATTGCTTGCTTCATTATGTACAGTCACAAAAATTGATCTTGTAGGGCTAACAACAAAGACCTTTTGTTCAGTTATGGCACCTTTCTGCTTTTAAAAAAAACAGTGTCTAATGATGAACCACCTGTCGTTTCTTCTGTCTAGGCAAGAGACGCAGTAGATTGTCTTCAAAAGACCAGGCTTTGATTATGGCGCTGAAAGAAGGTGAGAAAGAGGACCGGGAGCAGCGTGAGAGACACTTTCGTCTTCTTCACGCTGATGCACTCGAGGCAAGGGAACAAGAAGCAGCTCAGCGAAGGGAGGAGGCTGCTCAGAACCAAGCCTTCAATCAAGCCTTCCTTGGTGTGCTGGGAGATCTTGTGCGTGCCATGAGACCTGTGTGACAGTTTAGAATTGATAATCAGTAGATAGTAGTACTTTCAGTAGTTTTTAATGTAGTAATTTTGTTCCAGTAGTTACTTTTTTGTTTTTTTACATTTATTACTTTCAAATAAAAGACTTGTTTCTTATGTCCTGTGTCTGCATGATAATTGTCAATGTTAAAAGCTTACAATATTTTTCTTTACGTTCATAGTGAAGGTAATGCAAATTTGACATTTATCCCTTTTACACATTGAAGATTTTATGATTCCTAAGAAAAGATTGATAATATTTGTTTACTGTTATTAAATTAGTCTTTTTTTGTTCCAGGATGAAGTCATCACACAAAAACTTTCTACTTCAGTTTTTCCAGTGAAAATATGACCACCTGTATTGTAAAGATGAAAAGTGAGACAAAAAATGCTGTTTGTAATTAGTTTACGTGTAATATAAAGTTAAATATAATACACATTAATGTTAAATAAATACAGCATTTTATTAAAGTAATATATATCGATATAATGGTATATAAATATAAATTAATTAGTATGTAGAAAGTACAATTATTTTATGGGTTTTTCTTATGAACCACAAAACTTACGATTTAAGGAGAAATTCAACAATAATGTTCTTTAAATCTGCAGCTGCTCTTAAAAGCAGTTTCTGTGATGACAGCACACTGGAACTGAACCTTGTTGTAGTGCATCTGTTCAGAACAAAATACAAGATATTGTAATACATTTTTATTATCAACAACGACACTTACATGTTACAAAGATGTGTTAAAGGCATGCAGGTAAAGAAAAAATATGTACAAATATGGATTATTTTGAACAGTTAATCAAATGAGAATGAATGATTTATCATGAGATGCTCCATTAGAGCATTTCTGACATCATCTCTTCCTTCCCCAACTTCCTGTGTCACAGCCATGCGGGGTGGCTGGGCAGCTGCTTCTGCATCAGGTTCATCCAGTACGGTCTCGTACGTCTCTCCATGACTTTCACACAGGTTATGTAGAGCGCAGCAGGTCAGCACCATGGACTTCACAAGTTCAACATCACAGTCATTCCTTTTAAGAAGGCAACGCCATCTTCCCTTCAGCCTACCAAACGCATTTTCAACAACAACCCGTGTACTGCAAAATTTTTGGTTGTATATCTGCTGTTCTGCTGTTAGTCTTCCAGTGTCAGAAAATGGTTTTAACAGCCAGTCCTGCAATGGATAAGCTGAGTCACCCAGGACGTAGTAGCAAGTAGTCGCTGTGCCAATGGTCCTGAAATGAGCTGGGAATAGGTTTCCTCTCGTGGCTAACTCCCACAGCGTGGACAGTCTCAGAACCCTGGCATCATGCAGGCTCCCTGGCAATCCAGCAAACACGTTCCAGAACTGTCCTCTTCCATCCACAACAGCTTGCAGGATGATGGAATGCCAACCTTTTCGATTAAAATAATCAGTGTGATAGTGCTGTGGTGCTATGATGGGAATATGACTGCCATCAATAGCACCCACACAGTGTGGGAGCCCCCACCGGTTCTCAATGTAAAGGGCCATTTCTCTGAACTTCTCTTCATCAGGAAAACGGATCTGTTCTGGCACCAACAATGTCTCTGCTGCAGCACAAAACTCCTGCACACATCTACACACCGTAGTGATGCTGACACCAAAAAGATGTCCGACACTCCTGTACTCTGATCCAGTTGCCAGCTTCCACAGTGCAATTGCCACCCTCTTCTTTAATGACACACATTGGCGGAAAGTTGAATGTTGTCGCTCCAGAGCCGGTCGTAGTTTATTGCACACGTAGATGAATGATTGTTCTGACATTCTGAAGTTCCTCAACCACTGACTGTTTGTGAAACCAGGTACAATAACGTCCCACCACTGAGTAGCTCTGTTATGCGCCCACACTGTAGGTCTGCTGCGATTATTATTTAGCAGCCGAATCATCTGAAACACATACACGGCAAATGTATTACTAAACAGTATTTTATCAACATTTATGTACTTTTATGCTCGGCTTTTATAATGTTATTGCATGCAATAGCAACATAGCATTTTAGCTTACCCGCACACGTCGTTTAGCTCGCCTCCTGTCTTCTTTTTTGTAGCGCTCTAGGGCTTCCCACACTCTCCTGTACTTCTCCAGAG